GTGCGGTCAAATTGCGGTTTTGCCCAGTTGTGTTGCTGGTCGTGGCGTGTATTGGCAAACACCGAAACTTTTACGAGCATATAATCGAAAAAGTTTCCCCCTTTTCTGTGGACACACACACACACACACACACTTGACGCCCCAGCGTGTTGACATCGACGAACCCAACAACACAACAACAACAACTATTCCGTATTATGAATCTATCTATCCCATCGCATTGCCACATCGAAGGCACATGGCTGGGCGGTCGGCATGGAAGGGTAGAGGGATAGAGCAAGGACAAGGACATGGCTTCCCATGGCATGGCATGGGACATCAAGACGTAATCTTCTTCGTTGTGGCTCACCATTGTTGTTATTGTTGTTCTTGTTGACGCTGTTGTTGCCATACTTGACGCCGCCACCCTTTACCCTTTCAAATGACCCTCATAGATACGGACTATTGCATAAACTAGGATATAGATGAAATTGCCAGAATTCAAGGTAATTAACACGCACCCTATGAATTGGGAACTGTTATGTATGTGGCGGTATCTGGATAAATGTCTTCAGTGTCTTAGTGCCAATCCGAAATATCAACGAGTCCGACTCAACATGGTAAGACAAATTTGATAAAGCTATTTGAAAGTGGTTTGTCCTTTTGCTTGCCAACTATGCAGTTGACAAAGAAGAGAACAAACTCAATAAAACGGACAAAAGTCGTGATCGCATGGTTTTATATCTCATCTAAATAGAACGATAAAATGCACCCACAAACTTACAAAATACAAATAAGGTTCAAATATATGCAAATTATAAGACAACACTTAATATTTAATGAGTCGACTCTTGCAGATTGGGCCAAATATTGACTGCTTTTGTTCCAACCACTTGGAGATACCACTTCTAGTTTTCGTTGATTAACAGATTATAAGGAAAATAGTTGCATTCTTATGTTTCGATTTAAAATCTACAATAAATACTCAACAAAATAAAAATAACATCCAAGAACGGGTCGGACAATTTTAGTAAATTTAGCTAGTAATTCAATTAAGGCAAATATAATAATATATTATATGTATAATATGAAATACAAATGCAAATTTATAAGGGCTTTTCGTTAAATTTATCAAATCAAGATAACCCTATAAGAGCCGAATGCAAGCAAAAAAGTCCCTTGTTTACAATACATACTACTTATAAATATTAATACAATATTTATAGAAGAAAGCTCAGCTATGGAAATAATATTAGTCGATAACCTTTATGCAGCTCATCGCTTATGATATATATATTATTTCTCTAATAGAAATTCTAGTTGTGCTTCGAAGCATCCTGCTACGTTCTTAAGTTTAATGAGCTTTCGAATCGAGTCCTCCATGAAATCAAGTGCGAGAGGGTCTATTGTAGTTGTCCTACACAATATAGTATGTAGGGGTCGAAAATTCTATCTGATTAGAAACTAAGGACAATTAGTAAAAGAATAATTAATTAAATTTCTTGTTTCAGTCAAGCCCAATTAACTTTATTGTTTCTAATCTCATTTATTGTTACATCTTCGCCTTGAGTTTCCAGAAAATGTTTGTCAAAAATAATATTTGTTGATGAAATGGGAATGAGTTGTGAATTCAGTACATACATATACAAGTATGTAAGTACTTCTAATCGTTTAACCTACTTATTACGATTTAAAATAATTGAAATACTGTACCTAATTTGAACTTGTGATAGAGACATTGACTTACCATAGCCCTATTATATAATCTATAAGAACCCAATTATCAATTCCGGCTATTTAAAATGTTAACTCTTTATATTTTAAATGTTTTAGAATTAAGTGAAGAATTAATTATGCTATGCCATTTGTAATTATATTATCCATTTCATAAATGCTGTAATCAATATAAATCTGAATACAAATTCTGGTGCTTAGATAGTAGGACTAAGGCAAAAACCCAATTATCAATTCCGGCTATTTAAAATATTGTTTTTATAATTTAAATATTTTAGAATTAAGTGAAGAATTAATTATGCTATGCCATTTGTAATTATATTATCCATTTCATAAATGCTGTAATCAATATAAATCTGAATACAAATTCTGGTGCTTAGATAGTAGGACTAAGGCAAAAACCCAATTATCAATTCCGGCTATTTAAAATATTGTCTTTATAATTTAAATATTTTAGAATTAAGTGAAGAATTAATTATGCTATGCCATTTGTAATTATATTATCCATTTCATAAATGCTGTAATCAATATAAATCTGAATACAAATTCTGGTGCTTACAAGTAGATAGTAGGGCTAAGGCAAGAATTTAATTGCATGTTTCATGACCAATTTCTTAGTTTAAATTGTTTGGCCTCAATGCCGGCCCAAGCTCGGTTTCAACAATTAGATTCAAGTAGTCATTCATTTGCTTTTCAATTGAATCGAGTGGCCTGGCAGCCGGAAATATCGAACATTTGCGGAGGCTGTTCATTCTCGGGCAGCAGGATGTTCGTTTTTCAAACGATGTGTGCATTCATTACCTTAATTGACGAGTGTGGATGGCTTAATAACAGGCGAACGCGTATACCAATCATCTGAGGGGAGAACGAGTACGAGTACGAGTACGAGAACGAGTAGAGTGCACCAGACAGATGTCTGAAATGGGTGCGTACGTGTGTGTCTGTGTGTGTTTGCGTGTGGTCGAATGAAACCGTTAATGATACTACTAATTTGTAGCTAATTAAGTCAAGTGGCTGAGATGTTCGTCTGATTACCTGATTGATTGACATTGCAACAATGCGGTTTAGCCAGCAAACACAGCCGCGAGCACGATTTCCCACACAAAACCTAATAACAAACCAATACAAGATGAATATACTTACTATATATGTATTTGCAGATATGTATGTACCATAGAATACATACTTTATATGCCCCTTTTCATGTGCCACAAAAACTTTTACTGCATTTTATGTAAAAATTTGTTGGTTTATTTGCTTTTTTAAACGAAAGAAAAACTTGTACATGCATCCAATATTTCTGTGATAGTGTGTGTGTGTGTGTGTGTGTGTAGGTATGTTGTGTAAATCCTTTGACTTAATATTTATTGCAGTTGACTGCATGTTGCAAACAAACAGTGCACAGCCACAACAACAATATACACACATATGCTGCAATGTGTGTCTATGTGTGCGTGTTGCCAACTGAAATGACAAATGACTTTTGCTTTTGCTTCAAGTTGAGTTAAACCAACAAGAAAGTTAAACACTGACAATGAGATTTATGAGAACTTCTACACACACACACGCACACCAACATATTTATACATGTGTGTGTGTGTGTGTGTGCGCGCGCGCATGTATGTTGATGTGCATTAAAGCATGACTAACCTAATTCAATTGTGCTTCAGGATATGCACAGGCATGGCCTAAATAATAACACTGGCTGAAAGGCTGAAAGGAAACTGTTGAATATGTACTTTATATTATACATATTTGTAAGTATGTAAGTATATGTACGCATGCACATGTATATACATACGCATGTACATATGTATGTACAACGTTTTTGTAAAATTATTTATATTTCAAAATAAAACCGCTCTGCGTTACAAAAACTATTCCAACAATATCAATCATTAGTCTATGTTGCCCAATCCTTTTCGCAAAATATATGATATACCATATATGTATATATTGCCCGGCGATATTTATCTGACGACAAACACTTAATCCCATATACAAGTATGTAAGTACATACATATATATTTATTACGTATATTATTAATTACACAGATGGCGCGAAACGAGCTAAAGTTTGTTTTATATTTTTGATTTTCCCCCCTATCGCGGATTTTCTTGAACACCGTGATTAGTGATCTTCCATAACACCCGTAACTCAAATACAGATAGATTTCTATACTACTTATATGTATGTCGGTATGCCAAGTTTCGTTATGATAGACTGATTTAACAGGAAGTTAAAGCCATAAATATAATTGCTGCCCAACTGCTGCCCGCAGCTGTTGTTGATGCTGATGCTTTGGCTGACTGCAAACATGCTCACACAGACACGAATAGACAAGCATAGACATGCATACACTCATATAGATGCAATTACTATGTAAATGTGCAATTATACACCCCTTACGCGAGTTAGAATATCGATAGAGTTAAAATCGATCGAAACTTTTTTTTTTCATTTTCTTAGTGTTCTAAACATATGTACAGAGTATTTCAAAGTCGACTTTAGTTTCTCTACTTGTTTTGCAAATGATCAATGTCTCTTTGTACCCGTTTTTTTGTGGAACCAATCTACCGTGTAAAAACAGAATTATGTGTAATGTATGACAAGTTCAGGAACTAAAAACAATTATGTATGTAAAACAGCTATGTTGTTAACAAAAAGAATAGCTTATTCAATTTTTGAAGTAAAAGAGTTAAAAACAAATAAATAAAATAATAATCATAAATAGAGGAACATACATTTAATTTAATAAAACCATTATGATTGCTGAAATAATTTTGAACTGGACTTTCTCTTGCTCGTTCGGCATCTACATTTTTGACAGTGAACTCTGGTATGAGCCGTTGTTGGCCAATTCTTACTACCTCTTTGTATAATTATTTGTAACTACCCATACAAGAATGATTTTTAGCCGTTTGTGCGCTGTGTGTTCCTTTTTATTTGTGTTGTGTTATTTTGAATCGTGCTAAATTGAATAAAATCGTGTAAGAAAATTTAAAATTTTGTATTTTCAAACCGTGTTAAATCAAAACCGTGTGAAACCAGAATTAGGTGCACTCAAAATTCCTGGGATCTGTCCAAGCAGTGAACGTAATTTTTAATCTCTGGTCAAGTCTTAGTTCAGCGTCGAATATAGTTGCTTAGCTCCAATGTTTTTTGAAGTTTAAATATTTATAACTGATTATCAAACATATTTATAGGCAGTTATTCTATATTGTAAGCTATAAACTATAAATAGTTCGTTCATTTATTAATTACATATTTTAAATTGCTAGTTTTTTAAATTCTATCATGCTAAAATTAATTCGTGATAAAATTATACAATTCTTAATTGTAGACAACGACAGTCATACTTATACTTACATACTTGTATACATACGTATGTGTACATGAGTATGTCTGTACATACTTCTGCATATGCCTTATTTTTCGGTACGCAGAAATATAATTGCTGTTGACTAACTATGGCTCAACTTAATTCTACATTTTTTGATTTGATCAAGTGTTAAAAATATTGCATTGTGATTTGGATTAGTATTACAGTTGAACACTTCACACATCACCATCAAAATATTCTTTTGCAGTCTCGATAGTCGGATCCAACCACTCCTCAGTATCGGATTCAAAATCATCGCCTGATTGTTGTCGATGAATGTACTCGGGTTCCAGATACAACTGAAATGGGTTATTATGGTCTTTCCAACGCACAACGTCATTGTCGAGATGACCAAAGCCTGGTTTCATAAACTTATAGTATTTAAATGGCAAGGGATATGTAATGATCATACTCTTATGAACGCTCATGTAAACTGTCCGTCCTTTCATATGATGATCCAGTTTACTGAAGTGCCCTACACATTCCGTCGATATTGCGAACGACAATTTTTTCGGCTCATAGTCCATGGTGCTAAAACAAATTTTTCCACATGTTTGCAAAGTGCATGTGTACCGTATTTTATCCTCCGGCAGCAGCACCTGCAGCTCCAAGGTCTTTCTGGTTTGATAATAAAAAACCTCAGGATAGCCGCAGCCAGGCGGCAATTTTTCTGGGCGTGGAAAATAATCGAGCGTGTGCAATGTCTTTGCATGCTTTTTAGACTTCAATTTTCGATGCAACTGCTCAGTAGATATTTTGCTTTTCCTTACGGTACGTTTCTGTTGCTGGTGCAGATTATTATTGTAATCACCTAATTTTTTTGACATTCCGTTAACAACAGCTTCGAAAAATTCAAGCACATTGGCCTTCTCCTCGTACATGTCTAATTGATCATCCTCCTCATTTTGTTCTGCTTTGGCGGCCATTTCAGGCGATTGTATTTCTTCGCCACCTAAACTAGTTTGCTGTGAACGCCCGTATGCTTTTTGTAATATAGTCTGCAATATATTTAAAGGTTCCGCCCGCACAGTAGTTTTTTGGTGCGACGTATCTATCTGCTGATGGTTCCACTTAATTATATCAGGAGATGGTTCGCTGTTTGTTTTGATTTTCCTCCCGTTAATTTTATCTGGCTGGTTTAAGTTATTATTGTCAGAACCAAACGATTGCTCAGATTTATCACTAAATTCGTTTAGCGTTTCGTCAACAACAGCTTCGATCGATTCAACCAGACTGGCCTTCTGCTCGGACTTGTCCTTTTGGTGTTCACATATTATATCCTCTTCACCCGTTATTTGTTTAAGTTGTTCTCCTTTGGCGGCCATTTCAGCCGATGGTATTTCTTCGCCTCCTACACTATTTTGTTGTAAACGCCCATATTCTTGTTTTAATCTATGCTGCAATTTATTTAAAGGTGACGCCGGCTCAGCCGTTTTTTGACGCGACAGTTTGGAGGAATTCGTGGATGTATCTATTTGCTGCGGGGTTTGCTCAATTAGATCAGCAAACGGTTCGCTCTTCTCTGTCCGTTTATGACTCCCAATTTCCTGTTGCTCGTCAAAACTTGCATCGTCGAAATCATAAAATGTCTCAGAACTACTTGATCCGTTTTCCACTTCATCAATTTGACCAACAAGAAAATCAAGTAGCATAGTCTCTGTCTGTGGGCTATACTTGACCAGACGCTCATTAAGCAGGCGCTGACGCACGTTCAATATATCGATATGTACCTTCATGGCGGGTGCATATGTCATGGCTTTTATAGTGCGCACAAAGATCGTGTGCGACAAAGCAAAAACTATTTTGGCCTGCATGAAGTGCTCCATCGTAAGATTGTTGAGCCAATCGCGAACTATATACCCATCTTTTTCGAAAAACGAAAGTTCATTAGTCTCCGGCACCAGGCCAACAAGGCGTAAATCAATGGCCAAGGGTGGCAAATTAATCAAATCCGGAGGACAAACATATAGCTGACCACTGGTGGTCGAAACAATGCGTCTATCCACATCCAGTGCTTGCACCTGCACCTCAAGATCCGTGCATGCCAAATTAATGTGTTTGATGGAAGCAACGTTTAAGATGCGCACACGTTCGAAGCCATTTGGTGAATGTAGAATGCAAATTTTCTTCGCCTGAGGCGGCCAAAAACATTGTTGATTCTCCAGATTTGAAAAGTGAATCTGGAGTCTCAATTCCATCTTGCCCATGTTGTACAAATGCTTCTGTTCCTTCCAAGTTCCATCTTGTGGTAAATGTTCCAGTAGACGTACACAAAAGTGCACAGGCGAATAGACCTGACGATGAAAATAATAATTGAAAAATTTTGGTATATCGAGAAAAGAAACGCTAAAGGATTTGCGGAGCTGGCATTTGTCATACATAAATCGGTATGGCTTCTGTTCAACTAATAGACTGAGATAAAAAGAAAAAGGAAACTTACAAAACGCATGTTTTCAAATCAATTTTTCATTTCCTAATAATTAATGTATATGTTTGATGTATCCCATTATCTATCTTAAATTATATACTGAATATATAGAAATACTAACCCTCACAATATCCACTTTGATATCGCCATCATTGGGCAAGTTAGCAGGCAAGTTATCGTACTCGCGTAACTCATGCCGCCACTCACACTGTACATTGTCACAGACGCCGTGAGTCATAAGATGTGTGCAGAGCGCTGGCTCATTATCTTTTTTTCGCTGCTTTTCATTTTGTATGCGGTTAGATAACTGGACAACGCATTCATCTAAAGTATATTTATGCCGCCTCATGAAGTCGACAAGGCGAGGTAACTGCTCATTATTGCTTTCGTCCAGTAATACCACCGATTGCAATGACAAGCCTGATGTCTTCGACTTAAAAGGATACAGGGGATTTTTACAATTGTGTAAGAACAAGAGATGACGTTCCTTGAACATGGAGTAGCTCTCGCTCACTTCGTAGTGTATAATAGTGTGAACGCCACGCAAATTAATGTCGGGACAACAGCCAGTGCAGATAAGCACGGCACCGCGAGTCTGTATTGGATTTCAAAAACGATTAAGGTGTTTAGCAATCAATCCTGTCTTCAAAACAATTAATTTTTATAAATTGTTTTGATCTACTTACATTTTCAATCCAGTCCTTCATAAGTTCAAGGGTATTGAGAGAGATGTCTAGGTAGTATGGAATACATTTGTAGCTATTACGTTCCAACTCTGACACCAATTTTTTAGTTTCGCTGTCTATGTTGCAAAAAACTACAGTACGCATTCTGTTGGGCTGACGCTCCTTGAGAATTCGCAGCACCTCCTTGGGTTTCGACTCACTCTTCACCATGCATATTTTTATACGTGCGCCTCCATAGAGTGCTGCCTCTAGCTCATCACCAAAGAGCAACATTGGATGGTCATTGAATGCCAATAGCTTTGGCAGCATTGTGGGTAAATACGACTGTGAGGTCATGACCATTTGAGGCCGACAAGTACGGGTCGTTTCCAATAGATGCGAGTAAACCTGCTCCAGTTGACTTGAATCTATCAAATCGACGTCATCTAAGGCCACAAAGCTCAACCTACGAAATTGGATCACTTCGCCATAATTATGAAGCAGCCACAAATATTGGTTAGGTGTGCAAATCAGACATCCAACACCGTTCCACAGTCGTTGAAAAAAATTATCTTCGTACGCTGAGGGCACGGTTAGTATTATCGTGCTGAAAGGATTGGGCATGGGCATCTTGTTCAGTAACGAGCAGCACTGACTGGCAACTTTAGCTACGCGCTGTAAGCCCGGCACCACGGCCAACGCCAGCGGGCCCACCCAGGGACTCGCAATTTCGGTCATGGAGGTGACCACAGCCTGACACAGAGGCGGTATATAGCACATTGAGCGTCCACTGCAGGGAGCACTTGTAATAATAGCACCATTATCTATGCCTCCAATAAGATGTGGCCAGGCGTAGCTCTGTAGACGCAGCAGCTGTGTAAAATCCAAATCGTTCATATTCTGCATTATGCCCGGCAGGAGGCGCACATCGGACATGTGTCGTGCCGGGCGCACATCGTGTTGGGAATATGCCACAGCGAAGTCCGAAATCTTGAGTGAGGTGAGCGGTCGTTCAAGGTCAAAGGCGATTACAGGCTTACTATTGAAATGATCAACATTGTCATTTTTCCACATCATAGAGCGTTTGTCGCTTAATGCGACACTGGTCTTAGACATTTTAGAAAAACGTGAAAATACTTAAGATTACAAAAAAGCCAAACCCAGCTTACGCTTTTTACAGAAATTGTTTGAAGTAAAGTTGGCTGCGCTTGAAGGCGGTAAAATGTTAAAAAGACTGGTAGCAAAAGATCCATGCTACGAAACTCACTGATCTGCTTAAACGATACTACTCAGCAAGGAGTATGTATCAGTGTTCCCAATTCGGCTTTTTTCCCCATCATAGTAGGCTTTTTTCGAAGACCAATTGCATGAATAATTCGAAAAGTGCGGAAATTGAGAAACGGAATGTCTGGTGTTTTTTTTTAAATTTACTCAATTTTTACCGCTTTTTTTAATATTTCCAACATTTCAGCTTATTTTCACTCTCCTTCTCGTCAAAAACAATAATTTTGTTTGAAAAGTTGACAGCACTTATGTATGTATATAAATATAAATATAAATATACATACATACATACATACATATGTATGTATGTATGTACATACTTATGTATGCGCATTTTCCTAATAAGTACAACAATTTCAGAGACCACATAACTACCCAAATACCTTACATACATACATACATATGTATGTATATACATATGTATGTGCATATGCATACAAAAAATTGATTATTGAAAGCAAAATTTGCATATTTTAATTGATCATAAAACAGTTCCAGGTCTATGATACGCATACAAATATGTCTATATGTACATATGTATGTAAATATGTATATATGGTGTATGTATCGACTCACTGTACGCGAAAGCACGCTTACATGTACATATGTATGTATGTACATATGTATTTTTCAATTATTTTATAAGAGAAGCGCACACACATGCATGCGAACAAGGACAAAGGAAGGAAGAAGCAGAATTCGTAAAAAAAACGAAACAACAAACAGATTTCAATTTGATTGATAAATACAACGCAGCGTGTAAATGATGTTCCAATCGAAGAAAAGGACACAAAAAATTACAAACCGAGACACATTCTTCCACATAAAAAGTTTTTTTTTAGAGGCACGTCAGTGGAAGTGGGCGGGGTAGAAGTCGTGCTGTTATCTGATATGCTTCGCGTCGGGCGCACTGCACACAATCACAATAAGTGGCTGTTACATTTCACACTAAACATTGATGGACCCGCTGGCCGACGGGCCGGACTGGGACTCCGGACTCGGACTGGAGCTTGCAGTGAGAAGGCAAGCGAAAAACCGCACAACCAAACAAGCCACAAAACAGCAGCGGCAGTGGCAACAACCCAAAAACGAAAGGACGGCCATAAGCAGTTTTGTGGCCATGGCAAGAACTGTGTCAGACGCCCAGCCCCGCACCGCCCCGCCCCCACCCGTTCCGACCAACCAACCATCCAACTGGCCAAAGCTGCCGCTGCCGCTGCCGCAGCGCACAAAGCATAAAAGAAAATCACTGAATTTCACAAAGATGTTTATCATTTTCACTCCAAAAGTTTTTCCAGCGGTCGCCGGGGAGCCGTGGATGGAGTGAGAGCGCACAAGCGAGCAAGCGAGAGAGAGAGAGAGCGAGTGTGCAAAGTGGAAAATATTTTGTGCATACAGATTTCACAAGTAGATAAAGTAGTAAAAAGAAAATCAGCAAAATAAAAATAAGCAAGATGCGAGGGGGGGGAGGGTGAGGTGGGCGGAACAGGACAGCAAAAACTAGCAACGAGGAGCATCAAGTTAAGCAATAGCTAGTTATTTCGGTTTTCGGCCCTGTCTTCCTTTTTCTTGCTTTTTGCTTGATGTTACCCAAAGGACATAATCGGCAATGAGCGAACCGGACGTTGTAAAATGAAAAAAAAATCCTGACGGAAATAGCGCGCGAGAGCCCAAAACGGGAAAAGTAACAGCTAAAATTGTGCTGGGAATAAATCGATCACATAATGCAATATTATGGCGTAATGCTGGGGCACACCATGGTTATGGCTCTGTTGGCAAAGGGACCGGCTGCCTCAGCCCCTTCTCTTGCCCAACATACATACATACATATAGTATATATAGTATGTATATGTATTTATGTTTGAATGTGGAGAATTGCAGTCGAGTTTCTATCCGTTGTTTCTATTAAATGAAGTCCATTATGCTGACGCCACTGGGAATGAGTTTTGATTGATCAAATGATTCAATAACAGGATGACAGGCAGTACACTAGCATTCGCATTGGCATTGGCATTGAGTGACAACTGAACATTTCAGACAGATTCTTAGCAACGATACTCTCAAAAGCAAGTTTTTAAACAAGAGTGAAATGCGAGCCCAACTCTTAAATACTCTGTACAAAAAATTGAAAAATATTTTTTAAATTAAATTAATTAAACAAAATAAAAAATTTCCATTAGGAAACAAAACATAAAATTTTCTATCCTTGGACTTGGGGCAATCTGCATAACAGGTTTGGTTATTCTAGCTCTTACACTTTATGAGAATGCTGTGCTTATACAGACAAAACAGATGACTCGTCCTGTCATACTGAAATACATACATATATAGTATGTACTTATACCACATCATTTTTGTGTTACATACTTTCACACAAAACTAATATATCCGTTTAATAAAAGGCATCATTGTGCAGAATTTGATGTCTCTAGCTCTTATAGTCTCTGAGATACAGGTGTTCATACGGACAGACAGACGGACAGACAGACGGAGATCGACTCGTCTTGTCATGCTGATCAACAATACATATACTTTGTGGGGTCTGCCATGCCTCCTTCTACCTGTTACATTTTTCAGCTCCCGCAAACCTAATATACTCTTCTACATTTCATGTACAGAATATAAATACGAGTCCTATTTCATTCTTTGATAATGCTGCATTCCAAGATTTTGGGAGTAATTAGACTCCAGTTTCTACAATAATGTCTTACTACACGTATACTCAAATCCGTACGCTAGAGTTAACAAACTGTTATGCAAGCTCTTCTATATCCGATATTGGAAATATTTATTTATTCCTTCATACAATTTGTAATGCTTTCAATTAGTTTTTAAAAATTGATAAACGTTTTAAAAATAGTCCCCAACAGCCTAAACACAATCAGAAACGACTATAAAAATTATCTTAAAAAGAACAGAATGGAAAAAATATGTTTTATGCTTGGGAACTGTTGTTTTGTTTTTATTTCTATCTAGCTTTGTTATATTAGTTACCTAGGATATTGTTATATAAGATAATTTTTATTACCGATTAATGATTGCCCATCGATGCAGCTAAATAATTATCATTACTGATAGGTAAAATATTGTGATTTCAGAATTTGTTGACAAAAATCACAGTCGGTGGATGCGACTAATGCCGACTGCATAAACAATCATTGATTGTTAGAGCTCGTAACAGTTTTATTCCGTCGAGTTATGAACAGAAGGATACATGAAAAAGTCCTCTAGGAATTATACACAGATACAGATGCTTCTATGATGGGCAACGGAAATAGTCATGAATGGGTTGAACAAGCATTTGTATGTTATACTATATACTTTCCTTGTATATAAAATGTAATGTTTCCAAAGCCCTTTCCATTTGGGAGCGACAACATGTAACAATTGTCAATCGAATCATTTTATTATTTAAATTTCATACACACAGTACCAGCTTTAACATTAAATTTTGTATTTGGTGTTTTTTCTCGTCTATTTACTCATTATTATTTATTCCATGTTTTATTTGATTTGGCTTTGCTGCGGATTTTTCATTTGATTTTCCAAGCTGGCGCTTTCAGTTTTCATTTCTTTGTCAAACACGTTACGCAAATATTAGCATATAGCTCCCATGGTGGCGACACTGACGATGACGACGTCGGCTATGGCTATGGCTATGGCTTTGGCTTTGGCGAGTACAAACACCTGGCGCTGTTACCTGCACCGCAAATATAATGGCTGGAGCCGTGCACGTCCACACACACCCCTCCCCAACCCCTCCCCAAGCAACCAAAAAGCCTACGCTGTTTGTTCACTTCACAGTGTCCGCACGCCAGCTGTCAGCTGTGACAGAGACAGCCACCACTGGTCAATAGCCTATGGGAGGTCAATGTTTTGGTTCTCCTCCAATGTATTTATTTTTCAACTTAATGTAAATATACTACATGTACAGTAGTCAATCATGCCATAGGAACGCCTCGCCAGCCGATGTTCTAACGTTCACTTGGATAAAGCAACAGGCATGGAGAGAGTCAAGCTAGAATCTTGCAGTAGACCAAGTACAACTGTGAAATACCCTATATGTACATCCACCCATACTTTTGCCTCAGAAGCAGAAAGAAGAAGTGGGCGTACATCGAAACATCGATTTGAAACAAAGCATGGTTATAAATATTCAAATAGGCATATGGTTATAAAGATTCAAAATAAAGCGGCATGTCAGAGCTTCAATTTCAATCAATCAAGTTCTTAAGTGATGCTTGTACTAGATGAAAAATGTTTTTTTTTTCGGACCATTTTCTCACCATATTTTAATTGCCTAACAATATACTTGAAAATTAAATTTTTCTAAACTGTGCCCAAGAGGTAAAACGGTATACTAGGTTTGTGCCAGACCCCACAAAGCTTAACAAGCCGAACCAAAATAGCCATGTCCATCTGTCCCTCCGTCCGTCTGTATGAGCGCAAAAATTTCACCACATACAAGAGCTAGAATGACCAAACTTGGTATGCAGGTTTCCCTAAGCCCTAGGCAGATGAAGTTTGTTTTTTTATTCTGATACACCCCCCACTCCCCCGCTAATAATAATAACATAACTCCCGTTATCATTGGAATTTTCTGCTCAAATTTGGCAATTAGATCCTGTTAGTGATTATGTGTTTGTATGCCAAGTTTCATCATGATAGGTAGTTCCGAAGAAAGTTATAGCCTCTGCCCAAGCTCTGCCGCAGCTGTTGTTGTTGCTGCTTTGTATTATTTCTGTAATGCATATAAACATGCAGAGACACGATTCTTCTGTTGAAACTGTACTTAAACATACGTTTTCATTTATGTATATTTGTAGTTAGTAGAGTTAGTAAGTTCTTATTTAATTTAATTTCTTAAAATTAATTTCTAAAA